CATAGTATCTGCAGTAAGAGTTACGCTACATAGACTTGTTGCAGACTTGTTAAATTTAAGCTACAGAAATGTACAAGTAACTTGTTTTTAGGAATGTACGGCAAAGATATTTGAACAAAATTGCTAACATGTTTACTGTTGTAAATATTTTAATAAAAAAGGACACTTCAAACTTTTTTACACAATTATCTACAATAAAGAGAAATTTACAACCATTTACATACAAAATGTTCTTAATTTTTTCTTTACTGTCAAAATGGCTATAAGGTAGAAACAAAATAAACATTAGGTATGTGAAGTCCTGGTTTTATTTCACTCTGTATTTATAAAAGGAACAAAGCATCTTGGTGAAGTTCCATCCACATGCTAATGAGATCAAATAGAGCATGATGAGAAGTGCAAATGGATACAAAAGAATAGCTGTGTTCTTCAAAAAGGGCAATGCTGAAATAGAAGCAAATATTGAAGCAAGTATAAAGTTGTGCTCTTTAAAAAAGGTGCTTCATGTAGAGTAGCCTTGGGGCAAGGTAGCAATAAAAAATGGCTCTACTCTGCTGTCCTCTTCAGACAGCTCTGCCCTACTAGCCCTACAGTTATCTCAAAATGCCTGGGTGAACTGTTTTACCTAAAACTGTGGTATTAAACTCATTACAGAATTTTTATCTAATGCAAACATCTTCAAGTGGATTTACAGAGGAGCAAAAAAGCTAAGTTGTGGTGCTACCGGTCTAATACAAGAAGGAATTTGGTGAGGTGGAGAATATAAATTCTTTGGTTAAGATGTCCATCTAGCTGAAAACATGAGTTGTTACATTTCTATCATACTTCATTTACCACAAATAAAGAGTTATTTCAAAATTCAGCTAAGGCTCTGCTTTACAAATAATAGGCTAAGATCAAAGTAATAACCTGAATATATGATCTACTTTTTAGTCAAACAAATATAAAAGAAGTTGATGTTACTCACCACTGTATCCTAGGAATGTCACATAGATGTAATAGCCAATTGCAATCAGCCATAATGTATTCCCAACAAAATACCCAATGACAGAATCAGATATTATGACATCTGCAAGAGATAACTGCTCTCAGCTGTTTCGATAGTGCACCATTTTGAAGCAGAGATTTCAAAGTATTCTACTTACAGTTGATGAAGAACAGCTGGATAAAATGCAGGATAACTAAAAGAGGGTAGAAAGCATTCAGATGTACATCAAAGGCATATCCCCACTCCACATCATAATCTCTGTTCTGCTGCTTCACTAAGTACTTATTTGAAATGAACCTAAATGAAAAGATATTTGAGCCTGTTGTTAATATGAATCTATAAAGATGACTGACAAAACATAGGTTTGATGTAGTAAGTCATACGTGATCCCAACTCTCCACCACAAAGTTTCTGCTATGTGGGAATAAAAAAGTACAAGAATCGTGCAGACCAGACTATTGTTAAAATGGTTTTGTTCAAACAATCATCACATCCCTTGCATACTACAGGCAGCTGAAATACCCTGCTGGTAATACAGAAGCAAAACCTCTTTATAAAGAAGAGATCAATGTTACAATTTATCAGTCACAAGCTGCCACTTCTCTCTGTACATACAGGGGGATAACTTCAGTGAAGTGCTCTTACAGGATCAGCACACATCACACAGAGATGGTTTCTTTGATCTCTACAGAACTGATGCACTGCAAGGACAGGAGAAGGGCAGGAGAGTGCTCATAACATGTGCCTATTATTACTGAAAAGATGTACAAGTGCAATGTGCACTGCCTGGTATTACAGGCTACTGACTGAGCGTCAAGGCTCTTTCCTTCCACTTAAGTTCTACTGACATCAGAATATTTATCCCATATAAAGGAGGAACAAGAAATCGATACATGCTCAGAAATGAGACCAGATTTTTCATGGAAGCTTCCTCTGACTTACTCTTTGTGCCAAGGGTGGGGTTGCAAAGAGGCAGAGCCTGGATGCAAGGTGAGGCAAGAAGGAGTTTAGACTGATTAGGAATGGAGGGAGTTTTTGGGAAAAAAGGTGAGCTTGCAGTGGAAGAAGGAAATTGAACCAAACTTGAGCCAGGTGACTGGTATTGAGGCCTGCAGGAAGCTGACTAAAAGACAGAGGAAAACCAGCAGATGCTGAAATCTTCCTGGCTTAGGAGACTGCATCCTGAAGCACAAATTGCTGGAGGCCGGGGACAGGGAGCATTAGTATAAGCTCTTTCCCCAGGCAATGTATGGGTTGCTGTCCCAGACAGGAGCATAGGTCAGGTTGACCTTTCATCTATCACTACGTTTCTTTAAGGCACTTCATTCTCAATTTTGCAATTACAAGCAGGAGTTCCTGATAATAGTCAGGATTTATCCTTTTTCCAATCGCCATCATTTTAAGATGTCAGCTCCACCCCTACAAACTCTTAAATGCTCTTGCTTTCTTAAGTTCTTTGTAAAATAAAAATTCTTTCTTGGTGCCCTACCCTTGATGCAGCACAGAAACAGTGGGTTCCTGTAATTTCATGCTGCAGGACACATTTATGGTGCTAATGAGGTCTGGACTGTAAAATGACCTGCTCCTGCCTCTCTACTTCTGCAAGTCTGTGGACAGTAGAAGATAAAACCGGCAGTACCTGCCAACAAAGCAGAAAGGTGCCAAGCAAAAGACAGAAGAGATGTGGCTGTAGTGGCACTAGCTACAATCTTCAGCAAGAAGCAAGGACCAAGTGTATATGGCCCTGCTTAAACAGAATCATCCTCAGGCTTATACTACTTGACTTCTTCATTCATTATTTTGATTTTTCTTTTTTTAATCACTTTTTTTTTAAATTTGGAATTACTGCTGAACATTAACCAGCTCAAGAAGAAAGGAAAAAAGCTGGAATGTTCACCATAATACAGACCTTCTGACCATTTAACCTTGTTGGAAATAGAAAAGAAAGAGATGCATTATTTTTTAAGGTATCATTTTGAAACAATTATTACAACAGCATAAAACCTATACTCAATACTTGAGTGTAAGTTTACCCCAAAGAACCAAGTGTCTCACAAACAGCAGAGGACTCCATGTCTGAACAGCAATACTGAACTCGGCTTCAGAAGTCACTACTTACCACATCAGAGTTGCAATCAGGAGCCCCACGCCTACGCAGTCTATGAATACAACCCAAAGTAGCAGTTTTACTGTTTCAAAAAAGCCCATGTCCAACACAAATCCAAATCCTACAGTAGACACTGAAAGCAGAGAAAGGTCATTAAAATCAGCTGTGGAAATGAAAACATAAGATCTTAAACTGATGGATTTTTTAAGGTATCCTGTTATGAAATCTCCAGTTTCCTTCTTCTTTTTCCCCCAAGATTTTCAGTCTAACAGCTTTTTTCCACAAAAAAATAGATATAATGTAGTTTATTTGTAATATGAACACTCATCTATACTTGGGTTTAATTGTAATGCTGCACCCAAACTATTTTTTAAAAAATTCAGACAATGCTACAATAGGACATTCTTTGTTTTATAAAAGCTCCTTGTTAACCCGAAAAACATGTGCAATTTTATCTCAGTAAAGAGTTTTTGTATTATGAACAGGAATACACACTATTTAATAGAAGGCAACTGAGACAATACTGAATTTGCAGTTCAGTCATTTATACTAGCCACTTTTTTATAGCTTAATTCTGCAATATACAGACTCTCACCAGGGCCTTTATGGTAAAAACAATGTTTTATCCATAATATTCAGTTAAAGCAAATATTCAGTATTTTTAAACAAAAACACTGCCATGTGGGATAAGGTTTTCTTACTGTCTGTAAACTATGCAGTTCAAAACACAACAGAAAATGAGTTGCTGCAATGAAGAGATCAATTCAAGACTACAGAGTACTACTTAAGCCTACTCTAATTTCTACTTCCCACCTTAACTTCAAAAAGGCTAGGCCTTTTTCTTCTGTTCTACTTTGATTAAAAGATCATCCATACAGATCGGTCCTTTTGTGTGTGTGTAATTAGAAGGAAAGTAAACGTTCATCCCTGAATTTTCTCTCCCTCTTCCTTATGCTGTCTGTTCTCCCACACTCACCGCAGAGCCAGATACTGAGTAGCACAAGGAAAGCCGGATCATCTCTTGCCCACTGGTCCTTTGTCTGTTTTCTGTAGTGAAAGTTCCTGTAAACCCTTTGTGGTGAAGTGAACAGGTAAAGCATCTGCCAAAGTGCAAACTCGAAGTCCATCTGTCGGAAGTGGAAGAGCCTCCGGAGGTACTTGTAGCGTTTTGCTCCGGCCGTGTGCCTCGCAGCATCCCTGCGGCTCAGCACACCATTGCCCTGGCTCCCAGAATTAACCAACGTGGTTGGCAGCATCTTGCTAAAGAAAGAATTTCAAATTACGTATTTGATTTTGCACACAATATGGGGCACAAATAAAATAATGCGATGCAGGCCACGGCTGCAATGCTGAAGTGACTAAAACTGAGCACAAGCATAAACAGCAACATTGGTTGGAGCAAGTCCAGAGGAGGCCATGGAGTTGGTAAGAGGGCTGGAGAACCTCCCTTATGAGGACAGGCCGGGAGAATTGGGGCAGTTCCGTCTTTAGAAGAGAAGGTTGTGTGGAGACCTTCTACCACCTCCCAATATCAGAAGGGGGAAAACAGGGAAGCTGGGACACTTCACCAGGAACTGCAGTGATGGGACAAGGAGTAACGGGCACAAACTGAAACAGGGGAAATTTAGGTTAGATACAAGGAAGAAATTCTTTACTGTGGAGGGGATGAGGCACTGGCACGGGCTGCCCAGGGAGGCTGTGGGAGTCCCAGCCCCATCAAGGCCAAGCTGGATGGGGCTTACAGCAACCTGGTCTAGTGGGAGGTATCCCTGCCCACGGCGGGCGGCTGGAACCATACGGTCTTTGCGCTCTCTTCCGGCCCTTAGCAGCGTACGACTCCACGCCATAGGAGCGGCCCGGCCGCCGCCGCTGCCGCCCGCCCGGCCGCCCCCTCAGCGGGCCCGCGCGCAGCTGGGCCGAGCCCCGCCCCGCTCGGGGTCTCACCTGCTCCCGGCCCGCGCCGCGACCCCCGCCCCGCCGGCAGCGCCAGCACGGCCGCCCCCGCCGCCTCCGCCGCCTCCGCAGCCCCCGGCGCCGTCCGCGGCGCAGGCGCTCGGTCCCTCCCGAGCCGCCCCGTCCCTTCCTGCCGCCGCCGGAAGCAGCGCCCGGGATGGCGGCGGGCGGCGGCGCGTAGCGCGGGCTCGCCGCCATGCCCAGGTACTACGAGGACAAGGAGGAGGACGGGCGCGCCTGCAGCGGCGTGCGGGAGGACCTGCGGCAGTGCCTGCTGGAGAGCCCCTGCGTCCTGCGGGTGAGCCCGCTGCCCTCCGGCCGGAGACCCGCAGGGCGCCCCTGGGGCCTCTCTCCTCTTGTTTGCGTAGCTTAGGGAATTACCGTTCCAGGGGAGAGCGCAGGTCGCCGTACCGAAGCGAAATCCCTAGTGAACTTCTCTGAAGTCGGAAGTAAAGAATCCTCAAAAGCCCCTTCCAGTTGGCCAGAGCGTGGTGCCAGGGTCGTGGGTCCCATCCCTGTATTGGCCTTCCCTTAAGGGTTGGACTGGATGAGCCTTGTAGCTGCTTTCCGAGTCACAATATTCCGTGATTCTGTTCTGTGATTGTCAAGTGTTTTGATGTCTCTTTGATGAGCTGTAGAAATCAAATTTTGAATCTTTATTTTTTCATGTATTAGGAAAACAAAAGCCCTAAACAATGCTTGAGGGAAGGACACTGTAGGAGTTTGCAAGTGACATTCTTTGCATGCAAAAGATCAATGGTAAGTGTGCGGTGTTTTCTGCTACTGGCCTGAATGTTTCCTGTCCTTTCCCCCCTCTTTTTAAGAAAAACACATTATTTTACTACAGTGGGTGTCATTAAGCAGAACAGCTCTTGCCTTTGAATCCAGATTAAACTATGGGTATTGTACTCAGTTCTCATGAAGAAGAAGCTACAGAGTAGGAAAAATTGGAAAAAGGCATGTTTAAATTGGATTAGGCTTAGAATGTCACAGGTAAGTGATATAGGTATTTTCACTATTGTTTTTAGTAAAGTTTTGGGTTAAAAAATGTTAGTAGATCAGGTAAAATATATCAAGTAAAAGATACTGGCAAGCTATCTTTTGCCTGTAAGGTCTTTCAAAAACATCTATAAAGAGAACATTTAAATGAAATGAGACATTTACTGTTGAAGCAAGATTATGCATTGAAGTCGTTGAGTCATTAATTTTCTTGGAGTACTAGAATTCATGATAAATAACAGTTTGGCTTTTTATATAATGAACTATCCTGCATGAAAATGACAAGTAATTTTTAAAAATGTAATTAGATAAAGTTTTCTGTATTTTGATAGAAGTTCCATGTCCAAAATGTTTTTGCTTGTGTTTCCATAACATCTAAAACATATTTAAGATGTGGTAAAGATGGTATTAAAACTTTGCAAACATGAGAAGTGCAGGGCTCATTTCAATTTTTTTTTCCGATGAAGAGTGTACAGCTGCAATGGTACTTTAAATTTTTCTTCCATTTTGTATTCATTGTAGGAGCTTTTTGTACCTCTTCTATATGAACCATATTAATCCATAAAGTGACAAATTATTATTTCTGTGTATGGGAAGATGTTGTATATTAAAAGTTTGAAATACCTATATAAAGCTGCAGTAGCAACATATGCATCTCCAGATGATGTGTCTGTATTTTTCTGCCTGTGGATTGTTAAGGGAGCCTGATTAAAGTTTCTAGCTAAATGCCTCCAGTCATGCAGGGACTGGCCTGGCTCTTAAATGATTTTATTTAACTCTTCCAAATTTTAAGATTGATGAGTGTCCTGTTAATTCTGTAAATCTCCATAATCATGTTCAGTCAAACTTGGTATTGATTATAATAGTGAAACTTAAAGAGTGTCCAAAACCAAGTTAGAGACTAAATACAGATATAACTTGCAGTATGCAAAAATCATCTGGGGTTTTGCCTCAATGCTGTTTTCTTTTCAAGGAAAGAGAAAGTCTAATCAGAGGAATAACTTTAGTAAACTTTAGATGTTGAAGTAGGGCCAAAGTTGAAAGTGAAAGCTGCTTGGTTATTGGACAAGCTGTGTCATCATGAGTCTAGCTCTTTACAAATTTTGCTGCAGTTCTGAATTCTGGAAAAGGGTTAGTTAATGGTGGTAAAAGAAACCTCCTCAGTCTAATATCAGAATATGGCTTAGTTGCAATCTGTCACAGCCTCCCTCTTCAAGATAAGTTCAGAAGAATTCTCCCAAGATCACAGTATGTTTTTCTGCTGCATTGGGAAAGAACTTGCAGTTTAGCTTCTATAAGTACTGCACTGTGGCATTTATTTTAGCTTTACCATCATCTTTAACCTTTCATTAAATGCTTTTTCTGTAATTGCCAAGATTAAATGTGCAGATTTTACAAGTTTAATAATGTTTCTGTTTTTACTGATTGGCTTATATTTTTTCCAGAAACTTCGTGTATTTAAGTTACCCCACTCCTCACAGACATTTGTAGTGACTCCTACTTCAACCAGATCTAAATTTTCCTCCTTCACTTTATCAGTTACATTTGCAAAATTATCTAAGCAGATTTACCTTGTTTTTCATGGGTTCCTTGCCATCCTACTATGTTGTTCTATAATTTATATTGTTTATTTCAGAATGCATAGGACACTTACCACATAATTTTAGTTTTGTGTGAAGTTTAAGATCGTATAATCTCTCTTTCATCGGAATCCCCTGTGGCTTGTTGGCTAAATCACTAGTTTTCTTCTGCTTTATTCTGGCCTTTGTTCTGTTGTTACGAAGTGCCAAGGTAGAACAAACACTCTACAATATCTCTTTTGGAAAACACCTGCTCTTAATATATTGTCTTCAATTTTCAGTTGGATACCAGGGCAAGATTCAGAGGAAGGAAGGGATACTGAAGTCCTCGTCAAGAGACCTCACCATGGAGCTTTGGGGTTCATCAACACTCTACACAAAACAGAGACTAAAACAGGAAGATGGTACCTGCTGCATCCTTTCATACAGCATTTTCATGGAAGGTGTCTACTCCTGAGTATTCCAACAGATTAACCTGGATGTGCATTTAAATGCTAAAAAGAAGGCAAGCATAAAGCTGCAAGTTCTGGCCAAAATGGGTACCTGTCATGTACTTGCAATAAAAATGTGAAATTCAGAACAAGCTGCAGAAGTTGTAATTATGTTTTGAAGTTGTCTTTTGTGACTTTACTGTAAATTCTGATAATCTTTTACTATTAGAAATTATACAAGGTATGGAACTGGGAGTTCACTTGATGTGTTGAGGAAGCGTTTCCTTAGTAGATGACCATCTCAGAGGGTTTCTCAGACTAGAGCTATTTTCAGAGATGAGGACTTGACCAAGGTTGTAAAATGTGTGTGCAGGCTGCTTCCTCTCCAGTAGATTGGCTACTCAATAAACCTGTAACAGATGAGAGCAGTGCTGTTTTTCAGTTCCACACTGCTAAGGAAGTGGGATTTATGGGAGTAAGAAGCATTAAATAGTGCTTGAACCATGACTGTGGTAAATGTTAACTGGTTCTGTATAAGACCTGCTTTACCAAAGGAACATTTCCTTTTTCTTCCTTCAGCGTCCCCGCCTCTTTAAGTGTCAAGCCTTTAAGAAATAAATGGTGTTGTAACTCTTACATGTGGAAACTCAACTTCAGACTGAAGTTATTTGTGAAGCAAGATGAGGAAATAGTGAGAAGGAAGAGAGCCATGGTAACTTTTCTTGGCTGAAGTTTATAGCCATGTAATGATACACATTCAGTCTGAACAGATGCATGCTACACTTATTGTGTGTTTCTAAAACTGATGACTTCAGTGAATGAGCACATGTTGACTATTTAATTCTGTCTTCAGCAACTGTTCTGTAATGAGTCAGAGAATGTTTATATTCCATGTATGTGTAGGACTTTATTTTTGCCACCTAAATCAACTCTGATTTCACATTTTTGTGTTCTGTTGATCATGTGGAAGCTAGTTCATTTGTTCAAGTGCTGTAAGCGTCCTCTGTTTTCCACAGCCTACTTAACCCTATTATCTTTTTACATACACTAAAATGATCATTTATGTCCATAAGAATATTTTTAACTTAGCACTCTAATTCCAAAGTATTACTCACAAGCCTTTTCCGGGAGGAAAAACATAAAAAAGGTACTAAAAATAAATATAATGCCAGATGGCAGGTATTTTAATGTCATTTAGAGAGAGGAGTGGCAATAGTATGTGAGGTGGTAATCAAGGATTCTTCCATGGTATGCCCATGGTATACATGGGTTTGTAGGTTAAGTGTTCAAGTGATCTTTATTCCTTTCTCAGCCATAATCACTAAGCCTCTCCTGATGGTCCTAATGGAGCAGAAACATTGCTACATCTTAGACAGACATACTTGTTTCTAGTAATCAGCTTGATCCAGTGGAGACCAAGTGTTAAAATTAAATCCATTGAATATTTATGGTTTAGTAATTAACAGAACACATGTATTATTTGATCCAAAAGAATATTAGTGTCAAAACTTCCTAATGGTTCACTAAACTACCTAGGATGGTATAAAAATACCAGCAGTAGTTTGATACTGATTTGCTCAAGAGACTTGTTCAGTTCCAATATTGTGTAACATAATACTCTGTCTAAAGATAAGTAATTATATAATTGTCTTGGGACTTTGAGCACTGTCCAGCTTGAGAGATATGAATGCTCCTTTGGGAAAAATAGTTCATTTCATTAATGCCTTAAGTCCTATGCATTTGATTACAGCTTTTTCCCTAAAGCACAAAATTATTTCATTTAAATATATTGATGTTTTTATCTCATGCCTTGTGCTACTTTACTGACTTTTACTAAAAAAAAGACATGTTTCTATTCTTTGGTAGATTTTGCAAGATGAGATCTATGAAATTGGGTTGTTGAGGGCCAATGGTTGGCATGGTGCTAAAAGGCTAATACTAGTTTCAGAACCCCAAATATAAGCAGTGCTAATAATTTGTACTGAATAAAGAATAGAGTTTGCAAAGACCTCACTGCTGCTTTTGTTCTTCTCATTTGTTTTCCATGATGGAGAGTCAGAGGGTGCTAAATGCTGTCAAGATTGACGTCGCCGTCTGTGGCTCTGAGTGTTAGGACCTGTCTGTGTTACAACATCCTCTTCCAGCAATTAAAATGTTCTCTCTGTGGTCCAGTCCTCCAAACAGTTGTATTTACAGAGCTGTAAACACATCCTACAGAGCTGCTCACATGTTTATGATGATAAAAAATAGGCTGTGGTTATTTACTCTGAAAATTCTTTAGGCTGTTAACTGTTCTTTCAAGTTAGTACAGAGCGATAAGCATATGAGTCTGTTTAACAAAGGCCCATGTGCATGTATGTTGAAAAGTGAGGGAAAAGCCTTGGTATTTAAAAAGTATCACACATTTAGTATTTAAGATGTGCCTCTCAGAAGGAGACAAAATACAAAGTATCTCTAAAAAACCCTTTTGAAATATTTTCTGCACCTGGACTGGGTGCATTTGTATTATAAAGAGCTTCATTATTCACTGGGTGGCATAAGGAATTGGTTGTCCAGTCTTTCTTCACTTCTTAAAGTTTCTGGTAGCAGGTTGGATGAGATGCTTTTTTCCAAAGAAAACATTTAAAATTACATGTTTTCAGTGAAAGCCTGGAACAAACTAGGTTGACACCTTCTACTCACAAGAGCAGCATTAAATGAAGTCATCATCTAAAAATGCAGCCACAGAATGTAGGTGGTAAGCAGTATTTGTTGTTCAAGCCTGTGGTTAGAAAATTTACAAATACAGAGCTCTGGCAGCTTTGTTAACATGATGAATTTTATGCTGCCTTGATATATGGCCATTTAGAATCTAAATACATTTAGAATGTATTTATTGTAAATATGTGTCTTGTCTAAAGCTGAAGAGCACAACAGCTTAATTCCAGTCATAAGTTGTAGTTGACAGAATAATAACCAGACACCTTAAGATCCTTTCTCATTTTTCTTTTTCCAAATCTACTTGCTGAATTTTCTGGTTTTATTGCAGATATCTTCAGAAAATCATTAACCAGTTATTTCTGTAAGTGGCACATTTCACAATGACTTGGTTGACAGTTTGTAGAAAATTCTGTGAACATAGAGAGCAGCTTCTTGAAGTGGACTATGCTTTATTTTCAGGATTTGCAGTAGGTTAATTTATAATGTTCTTGAACACTGAAAGTGGAAGAAGCAACAAGGTTAGCATTTTAACAGTTGCTTAATTAGGTAGTAGAAGGTAATGTGTTTCAAGTAATAATGTATTTTAGTAGCTGAACATTGGAAATATATTTTTATGTCAAGCTGAGATTGGTGTGTCTTGATGGAGGCTTTCATATGCAATATTCTTTCTTGGCTGGCCTGTAGGTACTAATGGGCTGCAGTGAAATGGAATGGAATAATTTCCCTAAAGATATTTTAGTAACAGAGGAAATAATACAAGTAAATCTCTGTGACCTAGAACAAGATTTTTTAAATCTGCAGTATTGCTACTATTGCTTTAAAAGGAGCTACGGAAAAATAGCAAAGCAGAAATTGGATTGGAATTCATAAGTTCTAATGATAAACTGTGCTACTGTAAAATTGTATTGTGTTGTCTTTCATTACCACTCAAAGGAAGAGGAATATGAACTTTCCCCAGTCAATTTCTGACAGGAACTTCAGAGGCTCTTTTGGTAGGGAAAGTTTTGAAGTCTTTCCGAGGTCACAAAGGTCTAATATTTATTAGCTGTTTTCTCAAGCTGTTTTGGTTCTGAAGCAGCTGGACCTCACCAACAGTCATAGCAGGATGATTTCTGGGATTCTTAGTGGGAAGAAATCTGTTACAGGTTGCTGGATTGTTGGCATGGTGAGGAAGATGAGACTTAATAGTGCGTTGAGGGGATTGATAATTGGATGTTTAAAAATTTGTGTTGGTCAATTTATGGGCAAAAACTCCATAAAGCCCTTTATCAGCTGAGATGGGAAATTCAGGTCCCTTCCTGCTTTATATTAGTAGTTAAGGTAACAGTATGACACCTTTCATCTAGTCTGAACTTCTGTGAAGCTTTTTATGCCAGAAAAAGCATCAGGTCTTGAAAATGGTATAAAATCTGATTGTTTTCTCTTGATGGAATATTTCAATAGCTAGTAATCCCTCTATAGAAAGAGCATGTGTGTATTGTGATTACAATTTCACTTCAGTTTTCACTTCTTGGAGAAGAGGAAGGGATGGCTCTGCAAAAAGGTGAGTAGTATCTTACATTGTCCTGCTGAAATGCATTTGAACGTTTAAAAAAAAAAAGGCAACGGAATGTATGGGTTGACTTCCTAAAATTTTATGTTATACCTGCCTTCCTTAGTCCCATCACGCAATTTGCAATCTTCTTCTAGGAAGGAGATAAATCTCTATTACTGTTTTTTGCATTGATCTCTGTACAGGTAAAATCCCTGCTTTCTTTGTACACTATTGATTGTGCTTCCAGGGTGAGTGTCACATTTTGTCACTTAACACACCACGCTAAGTTGAGATCTTGTGCTCAATCCCCTGTCCCTTATGACCTTGATCCCTTTTTCAGAGTCAGTAGTTTTTCACTGTGATGTTTTCCCGGTGTATGGCATGTTTTCCCCGGGTATAGCTATGTGTTCTTTTCCTGGATGTGTAACCTGAGATGTGGGTATTGAAGAATAATAGAAGTTTTGAACAGCATGCTTTATCATTTGTTGCAGAACTTCTGTGTGATGGCCCAGTTCTTTTGTTCATCAGTGTCAGCTGTTGGGTTGTCCACAAATACAATTGGCAGTGAGTTTATGCATACATACACACCTTTGAAGAAAATGTGAAGTAATCTTAAACCTGGTAATGGTCCCAGAGCAGTTCTCTAAGTACTCTACTGAAATACAATTCCCCTCTATTTGTGAGGTATTGTTACATATAGATTAGGAAAACATAATTAAAAAAAAAATAGGTAAATGGAAAACCTCTCTAGCATATCCATTCCTACCCTGCTGGGTTTTCTTGTATTTTGCCCAGGGCAATTCAGACTGCTCTGCCTACAAATAATATGGTGATTCTCCACATCCTCCAACACTGGTGCAACATAAGGCCCTTGTGGTCATTTGGGCTTTAGTGCTGTTTCAATTCCCTAATACTAAATGAATATCAATAGCAAACATTGTTCTTCCAGAGTCCTTGGTGGGGAGCTGTCCAAATCTGCTGTTTAAAAAGGTTGTACTTTGATGATGATTAATAATGTCATCAGCTGCAAATAAACTCTTGATTTTTTTTTTTCTGATTTTTTTTTTTAATTTGAAAGGTGCTAGTGACAATGTCTACTTGCTTTCCAGCTTGTTTTCACCAAGTTAGTTTGGTATGCAGAGGAACTCTTATTTTCTGTCTCTCTGTTAAAGAATGTGGCAGGGTTCATTAGCTTTATGCTAAACCATAGGCAAAGGTAAAAAAAAATTATGTATGTTTGACTATGCATTGAAAACATCTCTATAAGTTCTGTGTGATTTTGAAACACGGAGCCCTTCATGGAATTTCACCAACAACATGCAAAAAGAAAAATGAAAAATTCAAGCTGCCTCTGCTGGCATCTCTATCCCAATTCAGATTATACTGGGGACTTCAGCTGGCATCTTCCAGCATGAGGGATCTGCAACAGGCAAATTAAAATTCTTACACTAGAGGGGTGTTGGGACTGACTCAGCTGCTTCTTGGCAGCAGTCCTCTTCAGGTCATACCCAGTTAGCTGGAAGCATCCAGACGAGTGTGTCTGTGTCTCACTGATTCCCCACTTCAGAGTCTTTCCTCCACATCAGAGCCCCTCACCTCCCTCTTGGGAGTTCCCACAAGGTAGCTTATTAGTAACCTGTGTTCTTGGCTTTTGTGCACCATGTGAAAATAACAGAATGAGCCAGAGCTGGACTGTGACCTCTTCCTACATTCTTTCAAATTATTCTTAACACTGCTTGAGCACGATAAATCCCTCATTGATAGTAGCAGGGTACAAAAATTGGTTAAGAAATGGAGCTCAGCCTCCAGCCACACAGCAATTTCACCACATGCGAGTGAGACAGTTGTCAAACAACTTCAGGTGTGGAGGATGGATGGATGGACGCATGGAGGAAACATGCTAAAATGTATCAATATGAGCAGCAAGACTAGGGAAGTAATTCTCTTGTACTCCACATAGGTGAGGCCACACCTTGAGTACCGTGTCCAGTTTTGGGCCCCTCAATTCAAGAAAAACAATGAGGTGCTGGAGCATGTCCAGAGAAGGGCAGTGGAGCTGGAGAAGGGGCCGGAGCACAAGTCCTATGACGAGGAGCTCAGGGAGATGTGGCTGTTAGGCCTGGAGAAAAGAGGACTCAGGGGAACCTTAGTGCTCTCTACAACCACATGGAAGGAGGCTGTAGCTGCGTGGGGGTCCGCCTCTACCCCCAAGCAACCAGCGACAGGACAAAAGGACGTAGTGGGTAAGCTGGGCTTGGGGAAATTTAATTTGGACGTTAGGAAGAATTCCTTCTACCTCCGATGCTTAACTGCAGATGAAGAGAATCCTCGTTTCTGTATTACTGAATCTTCCGGAGCCGGAGGTGATACCCTGGCTCGGGCGACCGGCGGGGCCAGCCCGAAACGCTCCGGCGCCGGCGCTGCCGGCCGGGCCGAGGCCGCAGGGGGCCGGGCCGCGGCCGGGGCGGGGCCGCCGCTCCCGGCGCCGTCAGAGCGGGCGGGCGCCGGAGCCGCTGCGGGCGCGGGCCGGTGGCTGCCGCGGGGCGGTGCCCGGCCGGCCGCGGCTGCGGAGGTGAGCGGCGGGCGCCGGCCGGGCGGCCGCGGAGCGGGGGGCAGCGGGAGAAGGTGCGGGGCGGGGGGCAGCGGGAGAAGGTGCGGGGCGGGCGCCGAGCGCGGCGGGGTTTGCCGCGGCGGGCGGCGGCTCCGCGCCGGGCGCGCACGGCCGAGCCCCCATCTTGGCAGGGCCCGGCTCGGCCGCCGGCGCTGTCACCGCCAGCGC